GGCGGCGGCGGGGGCAGCGCGGCGGTCGGGGTGGCCGAGGTGAGAAGCTGGCGTTGCTGCTGCCTCGGCAGCACCTGTTGGTGCCGGAGCCTCGTGCTGGTGTGCGTGCTGGCCGCCCTGTGCTTCGCTTCCCTGGCCCTGGTCCGCCGCTACCTGCAGCACCTCCTGCTCTGGGTGGAGAGCCTCGACTCCCTACTGGGCGTCCTCCTGTTCGTCGTGGGCTTCATCGTGGTCTCGTTCCCCTGCGGCTGGGGTTACATCGTGCTCAACGTGGCCGCCGGCTACCTGTACGGCTTCGTCCTGGGCATGGGGCTGATGGTGGTGGGCGTCCTCATCGGCACCTTCATCGCCCATGTGGTCTGCCGGCGGCTGCTGGCCGCCTGGGTGGCCGCCAAGATCCAGAGCAGCGAGAAGCTGAGCGCCGTTATCCGCGTGGTGGAGGGAGGAAGCGGCCTGAAGGTGGTGGCGCTGGCCAGACTCACCCCCATTCCGTTTGGGCTGCAGAACGCCGTGTTTTCGGTAAGTGATGTCCCTCCGGACCTAGCAGCCCCCCCGGGGCTTCGGTTGGAGCCCGTCCTGGGTGACCGCCCCGCCAGGGCGCCCCAGCAGACGCCCGGTTAGAGAACGTGTGGCAGCGATAGTTCAAGAGTACTTTCCCTGCTGCTCTGAGAAGTCTAGCCTACGGACAGATCTCAGTGGAATGGAATAAAGAACTCTATTTCTTTTCAGGATGTGAGGGAGAGGCCTTTTGGGGAAAAGGAATAAAGGAAAAATGCCCCCCCCTTTTTTTTTTAACGCCGGGCATCTTAGTTCTGCAGCAGCTTTGGCAGCAGCTTCACCTTCTTAGCCGGCTTTCTTGGCTGCGTTAGCGTATCCAGGGTTTGATTAAAGATCAGCAAAATGGGGCTGAAGGGTGCTTTCCAGTCAACACAGTAAGAGATGTAGCAGAAGACCCTAGATTTTGGAGTTTCCCCCAATTTGTATTTGTTTTTCTCTTTAAGTAATGTGTTATACAGCAATGTCAAGGAGAAAATCCTTCTTTTTATATTTCTCCTGAGATACTGTATTTTGACATCACTGGCTGGTGGATAAAACGAACCAGGACAGATAACATTGCTAGGGCGACATCTGTTACCCTTCTTTATGTGCACCCTCTGGATCCTTTTTATCCTGCTCTGGTTCACATAACTTCTGTTTATTTGGTTTCGCAGCTGCCATGCATCTTTGTGCAACCGGTTTAGGATAGGAACACTGGTAGGACACTGTCCAGCTGGAAGGATTCTGGTCTTTCCGTTGTGACTGTGGAACAGATTATTGAATTGACTTTACTTTCTTCTTTACTAAAATTAAAGGGCTAAACTAGATGACTGAGTTTGAAAATTCCAATAATTTTTATTTTTTGGAATGTTCTTTAGTATCTTTAATTATACAAAGGAGTTGACATTCAAAAGAGCAGTTTATGAATACATGGCATCTTGAACAAGTTTGATATTATTTCAGCCTTTAATCTTGTACTTTTAAAAAAAAATTTTATTGTGAAAATACTGTACAGAGGGGTTACAATTACATGGGCAAGATAATGAGTACATTTCTTATCAAGCATTGTAGCCTAATCTTGTACTTTTATATAGTCTTTATCCCATAATATAAGCTATAAACATGAACTTTGACTCCAGACCAAAAGATGGTTGGTACTGAAGAATGTGTAGGCTTATCCGGATACTTTGCCTTGTCCTCCAGTATAACCTTGCATGTTTGGACTTTTTCTTGTCTACCTTTTGTGTGCCAACTATTATCCAATGATCTTTTCAGCATACTGTTTGTAATCCTTCAACAAGACTAGCAAGGCTGGATATGATGGGGCATGCCTATATTCCCAGCTGTTTGGGAGGTAGAAATAATAGGAAAACTTTTGAAGCCAGCTAGGGACCCTGTCTTAGAAAACATAGGATGGAATCTCAGTCCAGCCTAGGTGAAAACATGAGACCCCCCCCACATGAAAAACAGACTGAAAGAAAAAAATAATTGAGAGTGTTGCTCAAATGATACTGCTTACTTAGCAAACTTGAGGCCCTATGTTCAAACCCCAATGTTACTAAAATAAATAAAGTAAGTATCCCTGAAGATGATGATTATGTACATCTAACAAGACCGTTTACTAGTGAGGAGCATAGGACGTGTTTGAGATGCCTACTGACTTATAGGATTTGATGATGTTGGTGAAGTTGCTTTGATTTCTATTTATAACGTGTGAAAAGTAATGGTACTTCTTGATAGGTTTATTGAAAATGTATTTAAGATAAATATTTGAAACAGTCTGATATAGTCTATTTTTTTTTTGTCCACTGTTGCCCTTTCTATTGTTACTACCCAGGGTCGCAGAGGAGAAGTAAGTGTGGTCAAAACCTCCTGGTAGTCTCTGAACACATGGCTCTCTCTGTGCCTAATGCAGATGTGTAGTAAGGATGTATCTGTTGACTGACAGTAAGCTAGGCTTTTCTTTCAGTAATGTCTCCTACATATTAAGTATAATAATATACTCTGTACTTAGAAGTAATTTAAGATAGTCATGTAGCTGAAACTAAGCTTGACAAGGGAAGGCATTATGGGGTCAGGAGAATAGAAGGCCTATTGAACATAGAGCTAGGCGCTGGTGGCTCACACCTATAATCCTATCTATTCAGGAGGCTGAGATCTGAGGATCACAGTTTGAAGCTAGCTTGCGTAGAAAAGTCTCATAAGACTCTCATCTCCAATTAATCACTTAAAAACTGGAAGTGTTGCTGTGGCAAGTGGTAGAGCCCTAGCCTTGAGCACAAAGAGGCTCAGGGACAGTGCACAGGCCCTGAATTCACTCCCCACAACCAACAAAAAAAGTAGACATTGTTATAAAAAAAAGTAGACATTGTTTGTCATTTTCCTGCATAATGGAGACTCTTCTGTCTTAGAATTATTCATTCACCAAGTGGCAGAACTGAGGGATTAATCTAGATTCATCTGAGACTGCCTCTTACTGCAACATTGCCGCTCATGGCCATAAGTTCTTCATGCTGTTATTCAGAACTGATTACTTCCTAAGTAGCCTTGTAACCAGAACCATTAAGTGTGTTTATCCAGGATAAAGAAAGCATAGTTTAAGCTGATGATAGTAATCTTGATTTTCCTTTCTGCCTTCTAGAACTTGGTTCTTCTTCTACCTTATAACACGCTGGCTGCCCACAGTTGCCCCCTTTCCAGACATATTTCTTTCTTTTTTTTTGTACTTATTTTTTATCTTTGAAATTATCCTTTTGTTTTGTTTTCATATTCCACTTGAGGCTTGTTTTCTCACTGTCTTTGATTTTTAAAAATTTACCCTAAAGAGGAAGTTAGGTGCAATGGTCATGAGTAGCATTGGCTACTGTGCCAGCTGTCACTATACTTTGGAAAGGCAAAATAGAAAATCACACCTATGATTAGTATACTATAGTATTAGTTCTTAAATCATGCAAAATACCATTTCTTAAGTACATATTTAATTTTTTTTTTAGTTTTAGTTTTTTTTTTTTTTATCTTAGGGGCTGGCTCTATGGCTTAGTGGTAGAGTGCTTGCCTAGCAAGCATGAAGCCCTGGGTTCAATTCCTCAGTACCACATAAACAGAAAAAGACTGAAGTAGCTTTGTGGCTCAAATGGTAGAGGCTAGCCTTGAGCAAAAGAAGCTCAGGGACAGTGCCCAAACCCTTTCAGGCCTCAGGACTGGCAAAACAAGACAAAACTTAATGTTTTTGATGAAATCTTGTATTTACAGGTCTTGCTTCCCATTAAGAGGTGTTTAAACTTGAGGGATTTTTTGGGGGCCACTAAATACTGGTCTTATTCAGACACATATAGAATGACCGTAAACGTGCTTTTAAGATAAGTTGAAATAGACCAAATTATGCTTCAGTAACAACCTTCAATGTTCAGTGATGTAAAAATCAAGGTTCTATTTATTCTACTTGACAACACAGGTCCAGGCTAAACTTTGTGGGGAGGGTTCTCTGATTTGTATCATTTTTAGTCTGGGTTACAGGCTGACAAAACCACCATCTTGTACTTCATTATGATGAATAGTGAATTACATACTTTAAGTTTCCACCATAAATAGTATCACTCTTTACTGTCCTGAAAAAGTTTTATTGCCCAGCTACCACTAACCACAGAGAGATGATGGTGTGCTTGGAGCATGTGCTGGAATCTTAATAGCTGGCACTTAATGATCTCTATCTCCCTATCTTGTCCCTTAAGTATAAGCATTGCCTAAGTCATATGGATTCTGCCTCCTGGATGCATCAGTCCACTGCCACTGCTCTGGTTCAGGTATTTCACCCAGCAACCAGACATCCCTGCTTCCTCCAAGCTCAAATTATTTAAAAAGGAAACAACATGGGCTGGGAAGGTGGCTCAGTGGTAGAGCGCTTGCCTTGCATGCATGAAGCCCTGGGTTCCATTCCCCAGCACCACATAAGCACTGTGGCTCAAGTAGCTAGAGTGTTAACCTTGAGCTGAAGAGGAGGCATAGCACCTCAGAGTTCAGGCCCACAACCAGCAAAAAAAAAAAAAAAAAAAGGAAACAACAACAACAACAGACTTTCTAAATTGCCAAATGTGATTTTGATACTCTGGTGTGAAATTTTTAAATAGGTTTTGTTTTCCCTTTAGGATAAATTCCATCCACTCTTAGGCTTCCCTCTGTAGTTTCTCTTATTGCTCTGAATAATTACTGTGTGCCCTTTATGTGTTAACATTTCATCCTCAGCATCCTAAGAGGTAGACATGGTATTGCTGACTTAAACATAGCAAGTAAAATCCAGACTATAGCTCTGAAGCTTCCGGTTTCACTTTTTATCCGTGTCTGGTAAAAAAAGGAACTGTGGGTTAATAAGAAGGGAATGTTGAAGTGAAATCCTTCAAAAGTAAAAGCCTTGTAGGAATTTGTTGATAATGTTGAAAATTGAAAACATTCCCAAGAAAGATCACCTTATACTTAGTAATAATTAGTGACCTTGTAAGGTCCCACTCTATGGAGACTACATTTTAAAGTAAAATGTTCTGTAAAATGTATTTAATACAACTATATTAAGTGATTATTGGTTATTATAGGTAATAGGATTCATACTGGGTCCTGTAGATTTCAAAGGTGTCAGATGTTTTGGTTGTTAGGTTATTTGATAGGAGAGCCCAAACCATCTTTTTCTTTACTTGTGTAAAAGAAAAACTTAAAAATTGTCAGAGAGATTCTGTTGCTTAAAAATAACCATATGGGAAATTTGTTTCAAATCTTTGAAGCCTTAAAATAAAAATGTAAAGCACCGTGAAAGATCCTCTTAATCATACATTGTATAATGTCCAACTTTTAGAGCAGGCTTGCATTTATGATACCCCTTAATCATGAAAACATCCTTTGAAGAAGGTATAGTCTTATGAAGCAATTATTTAGAGGACAGATATCACAAAATTAAAATCAGACTTGCTTCATTTACTGTCACGGTTGTAGTT